CCCACCGCCACCTTAAGATATAGCTACATTTAGACACAAATAGGCATATATATACATAAATATATAATTATTCTATACATATTTATTAGTTCTTTCTCTGGATGCAAATAGCGTCTTCTTCATATGTCCTTTGTAGTTAATTTGGGTATTTATAATAGTCAAAATAACTTATTTGCTCAAAGTTATTCTTAAAAGAATATTGCTGTTACTGTATACAATGTTCTCTTTGTCCTGCTCATTCTGCTATTCATTATTTCATGAATGTCATTCTATTTTTTTCTAAAATCATTGAGCTCATCATTTCTTATAGCAGAGTAGTATTCCATCATTATTATATACTACAACTTGTTCAACCATTCCCCAATTGACGGGTATCCCTGAAATTTCAGTTCTTTGCCACCACAAAGAGAGCCGCTGTCAACATTTTAGAACATTTAGGTCTTTTTCCTTTCACTCTAATTATCTTCATACTTAGGACAAGTAGTGGTATTGCTGGGTCAAAGGGTATAGGTAGTTGAATAACTCACTGGGCATATTTCCAGATTGCTCTCCAAAATGGCTGAGTCAGTTCACAATTCCACTAACAATGAATTACTGTCCCAGTTTTTCCACGTCCCTTCCAACATTTGTCACTTTCCCCTTCTTTCATTTTAGCCAATCTGGTAGGTGTAAAATGATATCTTAAGGCTGTTTTAATGTGCATTTTTCTAATCCAACAGTGGGGAACCTGCACTTCAAGGACACATGTGGTTCTCCAGGTCCTTTCAGTCAAAAGGTCACACTCTAGGACCTGGAGGGCCATAATATATGTACTCGAGGCTGCAGGCTCCTCACCCCTGCTTTAATCAATAATGATTGAGAACATTTTTATATGATCGTAAATTATTTTGATTTCTTCATTGGAAAACTGCCTGTTCATATCCTTTGACCATTTCTCAGTTGGGGAATGACTTGGATTCTTATAGATTTGACAAAGTTCTTCACATATTTTAGATGAGACTTTTATCTGATAAACTGTCTATAGAAAATTTCCCCCAATTTTCTGCTTTCCTTCTGATCTTGGCTACATTTGTTTTATTTGTACAAAACCTTTTTAATTTAATGTAATCAAAATTAACCATTTTATGCTGAACTTTGCTCTCTATCTCTTGTATATTCATAAATTGTTTGCTTATCCATAAGTCTTATAAGCTATATGTTCCATGTTCTTCTAATTTTCTTGTAAAATCTCTCTTTGCATCTAGGTCATTTTGATCTTATCTTGGTAAATGGTTTATGATATTGACCTGTGGCTAGTTTCTGCCATACTGCTTTCCAGTTTTCCCAACAATTTTTTTTTACCAAATAATAAATTTTTATCCCAAAATCTTAAGTCTTTACATTTGTCAGATACAAGATTATTATGCTTATTTGTTGTTGTAAATTACATGTCTATTCCATTAATCTACCTTTCTATTTCTTAAGCCAGTACCAGATAGTTTTGATAATTACTGCCTTATAAGACAGTTTAAGATCTGGTACTACTAATCTTCCTTCCTTTACATTTTTATTCATTATTTCCTCTGATATTCTTGACTTTGTTTTTCCCTATGAATTTTGTTATTATTTTTTTCTAATTCACATTCAAAATTATAATTACTATTTGTGAATTTCCCTCCATCTTAATTTTAGTCACTATTTTCTTTCTCAGGCTCTCTTTTCACTCCATCCCATTATCTTATCTTCTCCTCTTGGTCCCTTCATTGGAGTTTGGGATGACCTGGCTCAGGAAGGAGAAATAAAGACAGAGAGATCCTGACCTGGGAGGGTATCCTTACCTGAATTGCTGGAGGCTGCTATATCTCATGACCAGGCCATTCCCCTCAGATGACACCCCTTCCCCAATGATGAAGTAACGGTGACTGACTAAGGACTCCTGGTCCACCCCCTAAATGAATGTCCACCAATCAGGGTTGCTTTTCACTTGTCAGGGGAGCCAGAGACTCCCTTTGATCACCAAGAGAGACCACTGACCATTCACTTATTGATTATTGGATGGACTAGTTAATATGTTGATTTTTAATACCCAGAGCTATGTCTCTCAGAATTTTATTCACAACAGTGCTTAGGTTTCAACCCTAATAGACTGGGTGGATGGTGTTGTCCTACACAGAAATAGGGAAGATGCCCGGGATTGGGTGGGTGGGTGGGGTTTAAGGAGTAAGATAATGAGTTCAGTTTTGGACATGTTGAATAATGGCATCAAGTTCAAGATTCTGAAAGGGGGCTGGAAATGTGAAATTGTATATCAGCAAAGAGGTTACAGAGATACGAGAATCACCAATGGATCATTAAATCCATGAAGCTGATGAGATCACCAAGTGGAGCAGAATTAAGAGGGAGAAGGATATGGCGAGTACAATTCAAGTTTCCTCATGAATTATTAGCTTCTAGATCCCACTGTGGGTGAAATCTGTGTTTGAGTAAAAAGGCACTGTGTGGACTGAGCAAACAGAAAATTGGGTTCCTGCTGGTTTCCAAATCACAAAAGCAGCACAATGTCTGTCTACAAAACCAGAGAAATCAATCCACACATTCCTAAATGATCTGGAAAAAGTTAACAGTTACATTTTAATTAATTTCCCAGTATTCCTTAATGCTAGTCTCTGTTGATTATTTCCACTTTATCCTGTACATATCTTGTTTGTACAGAGATGTTTAGATGTGGTCTCCACCATTAGACTGTGATTAAGCTCACTGAGGGCAGGAAATGTTTTTTGCATTTCTTTGTATCCCTGGTGCTTATGGTCTATTGTAGGTGCTTAATAAATGTTTGATGACTGACATTTCCTGTTTAACAAGAGTAGATTACTCAGTGAAATTCTTGCCTTCTTAATTATAAACCTATTAATATTTATATTCTGGAATTTGGAAAAAGAGAATCAAATGTCAGTGACTTTGTCAGGTAATTCTAGAAAGATGGGAAGATCTTTAAATCCTCAAACTAATTATATAAAAGACCAAGACTTCTCCAATCCTAGGACACAAACTTGCTGGACTAGGGGTCTGAAGCCCTTGATACACTTAGAGGAGTTCCTGGGCTTGTTTTGCTTGGCCTCAAAAGATCCTAAGGACAATATGAAGAAGCTGTGAGAGAGGCTGATTTGGGCTCAATATAAGACATCGCTGCCCAACCAAAAAGCTATCCAAAATATAAAATGCAGAATAAAAACAGGAAATTATATAGGGCATCAAAAAAAGGCGAGATCAGTACTGCCATAATATAACATAGAATTTCAGAAGTGGATGGAAACTCAGAGGTCTTCTAATCCAAATTTAAAGCATAATCAATCAATGAATCTATATTCATTAAGCACTTACTATCTTTCAGGCAAAAAAAAAAACAAAAGAAAAAAATGGAACAGAAACACTAGAGAACAAACTAATTAAATCAAGCGGCTTTCAGCAAAACTGCAAGACATAAAATAAACTCACACAAATCATCAGAGTGTCTGTATATTCCCAATAAAACCCAGCAAGCCGTAGCAGTAGCAGCGGTACAGTGGAAGACAAGACTGGAAATCTTCAGATCCAGGTAGGTTCAAGCATAGTTCTGCTACTAATTATATGACCTTAGACATGCAGTACAGCAGAAGGAACAATGCATTTAGAGTAAGATGACCTGGATTCAAATCTTGGCTTTGTTACTTGCTACCTGGGTGATCTTAATCTCTGTGACTCAGTTTCCTTATCTGTTAAACAAGGCTGGTAGACTAGATGACCTCTAGGGTTTTTTTTAAAGCTCTAATTCTATGTAATCTTATTATCCAAAGTCACTTCTCCTTCCCTTGCCTCAGCTTCCTCATCTGTAATATGAGAGGGTTGGACTGAATCAGGAATTCTTAACCTTTTTAGAGTGATGGAGCCTTTTGGCAATCTTGGATAACTTATGAATAATGTTTCTCAAAATAATGTATTTAAATGAACAAGGGAAATCAACTATATTGAAAGAAAAATGAGTTTTTTTCTTCCCACCCAAGTTCATAGGTCCCCTGAAATGTGCTCACAGATCCCTAGGGGTTCCATCAACACCATGTTAAGAACCCTGGACTAGATGCTCTCAAAGGTCATGTCCTGCTCCCAGATTCTCTGATTAAAAGTGAGAGATTCTGCTGTGTTCACTTGGTCACTGCTTTGTACTGACTCCTAAGTTTTAGAAACGTTTTCATAAAGATTTGAAACATGAAGAGTGTTCTGGGTAGGCCTCAACCTAGAGAATCAATTAATTTGAGAAATCCATAGAATGATAAGCATTTCTACTGATCAGGGTTTTTTTTTTTCCCTACCATATCTCTTATATTAAAGGGCCTGACTGGTGAATGAAAGCATAGGCTACCAAATATAGACTCTAACCAATAGTTGGCTAAAATTGGAAACAAAATGAGGAAAAGAAGATGCCAAACAGCTGGGCAGACAGAGAACTTGCAGGCTGACTTTCCCCACCCACTATGAATTCAACAAATTATTGTCACTAGATTGCAACATCAAGTGCAATTTAGAATTCCGGACTCTCTGAATACATGTTATGCCCTCAGCACTTAATTTCTACTGCTCCGTGTTTCCTTTAACAGAAAAATGGTGTTTTCAAATACATTACTTTTTATTTTTTTTATTTTTGGCCCTGACCTAAGATTTCATTGGTAGGCAACTTCCTGTGACAATAATCTCTCCATTAATGCAGGTCTGCAGCTTATGGTCTTAAAGAGTTGCTTGGAGCACTGAAGTCAAATGACTTGCCCAGGGTCACACAGCCAGCATATATCAAGAGACAAGATTTGAACTGAAGTCTTTCTGATTCCAAGGTCAGCTCTCTATTCATAGTGCCATGATGCTTCTCAGATACATCATCATCATCATCAGAAATGCCTAAAAATTAGGCATACTTCATGCTTGTGAGAAAACATTTTAAGCATTTCGCAAATGATCCATGTACAGCTATACTGATTCAAAAGCAACCTTACCTGCAATAATCCCATCCATCTGCTCAAGGGCAGCCTCCAGCATGTGACTAGCATCTGACGCCATGGCTGCTTTTCAATTTAGTCAGTTTCTTCCTCTTATTTCTGAAAAAAGAGCATTGAATAAAGGTATGATTGCATAAAACTCCAAAGCCCTCTTGGACAAATTCACATTTTAGGCCTTTAACATCATTTACATTGTGAATGAGCAATTACTCACGCAACAAGCATTAATTAAATGTCTACTATGTACCAGGCACCGTACTAATCCCCAAGAATTAAAAAAAAGACATAAATTAAACAGTTTCTGCTCTCTTTATCTTCTCTTAGGGGAGACAATTGGACTGAAATTTCTATGAAGACTGTAAATAAATGTAAATGTCATTGGTAGGCACAGTTAATGAACTTGGGAGTCAGAAAGACCCGGATTCAAATTCCATCTTTGATCCTTAGAAAGTAGCTAAATAGTACAATGAATAGAATGCTGGACTTGGAGTCAGGAAGACCTGAATTCAAATCCTATTTCAGACACTTACTAGCTGTGTGACCCTGGGCAAGTCACTTTGCCCTGTGTGCCTCAGTTTCCTCATCTGTAAAATGAGCTGGAGAAGGAAATGGCAAACCACTTTAGTATCTTTGCCAAGATAACCCCGAATAGAGTCAGACAAAAAACAATAATTTTTAGGGAATTTTTCATTATCTGTAACTGGGATTTGTCCCTCTGCAACTCTCCCCCAGTTCTGCTCTCTGGAACTAAGCAACAAGAGGGTCGTGGCATAACGGAATGTACTGGACTGAGGGGAACACATAGCTTCAAAGTGTATCATTGCTGATTACCTCAGTTTCCCCATTTGTAAAATGGGGAAGTTAACATCTGTAGTAGCCATCTCATGGTATTAGACTCGAATGAATGAATGTAGGCAAAGTACTTCAAACTTTAAACTGCTATAAAATGTTATTATTCTTCTTCAAGAAAATCTAATCCTCTTCAACTTGCTAGCCCCACAAATATTTGAAGAGAGCTATCATGTAGAAAGAGACAGGCTAGTTTAGTAGATGATCAGCAAATCCTATCATATTGGCTATATGACCCATGCTTTATAACCCTAAAAGCATATATAAATAGCTATTGTTATTTAACAGATAACCTTACCATGCTATATAAGTGTTAGTCGTGCTGACTGGTCATAACCTTGACCTCCCAGTGCTCTAGGACACTTTCTAAGACTATCAATTGCAGAGAAGGTGCCAACCTGCATTGGTAGAGAGAGTTTCTTTATCAGACAATTCCCTATACCAATGAAATCACAGGTCCTGCGCCTTTTCCTATTATGGAGCTTAGTTTCATATAAAATTTTCTTTTTGTTCTTTATACATTGAAATGTTCATGTTTGTTAAGTTAATAATAAAACGTTTTTTTTAGAAATTATTATGTCCCTCCTAATTATTCTTGTTTATAGGCTAAAAATTCATAGTTCCATGAATCAATCATCATATGACAAGTGCTCTCAATTTTCCCAGAAGCCCCTCTTCTAGACATCCTCATTCTGGTGACTGTGGCATTCAGAACTGAACATGATATTCCAAGGGACTCCATGGGTGGAGAAAGGAGAAGGAAATGAGGCTTTGGGTATGTAAGGGACACTCCCACCCTGGAGAAGAATGTCGGTATTTTTAGCTTTGTCTCACATCAAAGGGGGGGAAAAACAATCACAAGAAGAATCCCTCAATGCCTTCTCTGGAGACATCAGAGCTATAATTAAAATTTGGGATAGAGGAGATACTGCAGCAGGTCATTTCACAGAGCCTGAAGCAAGCCTGCCTTCCAGGCAGCCAGATAGCTGTTGGGCCCTTAACGACTGATCTGTATGTGCTCCTTTAGTTTGGAAATACCCCATTCCTGGGTCTTCCCCAGGCTGTGTGTGAGCCCGTCTACTTACTCTAAAAAGCTGGTGAAATTGTACCATGTCCTAAGTGAGGGCTCATGAGCCTAACTCATTCTAACATCCCAGGTTTAGGCTGATATGTTCTATTACCAATCTTTGTCTTTTGTTCTTCAACTGCATCTCTTTAAATATTTTTTGTTGTTGTTCAGTTGTTTTTTTCAGTAGGGTGTCTTACTCTTTGTGACCCCATTTGGGGTTTTCTTGGCAAAGATACTGGAATGGGTTCCTTCTCCACCTCATTTTACAGATGAGGAAACTAAGGCAAACAGGGTGAAGTGACCTGCTCAGGGTCACACAGCTAGTAAGTGTCTGAGGCCAGGTTTGAATTTAGGAAGATTAGTCTTCCTGACACCAGGCCTAGTGCTCTATCCACTGCACCACTTAGCTGCCCTAATTATCTACAAACTAACTTTTTACTAGGTTTTCTGTGGAATCTTTTTTACATGCTTAGAGCCAATTTCCAAAGAATCTCTTTGGAGGATGGATAGAAATTGGTGCCTGTGCAATATACTGTGTCCTGTAAAAAGTCCCTACATATTTTCACCACTAGAAAATCAATGAAAGTCTAAATTGCATATCAATGATATCTCCTACCAAAGTCCTCTTCTGATGTATAGAACACACTTTGAAAGTCCTCCTGAGCTGGACAGGCTCCAAGTGGTGGCCTAGTGAAAGCTATGTCTATTGGCTGAGGACCAGAGATATTCATGACTGGTCCAGCCACAGGGTGATACATTTTTTAATCATAACACCTACCAAAGACTTAGTAATAACAGTATAGAATGATGAGAGACAGTGTGGCACAGTGGAAAGTGAGCAAAGCTAGCTGTTTAAGCCTCTGACACATACTGGCTGGAACTTTCAGTAAGTCATTTAACAGCTCAGTGGAATCCAAAGAAACCTTAACTCAGAGAAGTTTGGGTTTGATTAGACAGCAATCACTCGATTTTTGTTTTTGAAAGAAACTCCAAAGTGGCTGAGCCAAATCTATAGCTGAACAACAATCTCTGACAAGGGCTGAGTCAGCCTTTGCTTAGAGACCTCCAGAGGGGAAGAGTGCTTTGCTTCTTGGGGAGGGGCCAAGGGACCGTTCCACCTTTGGGGAGCTCTAATATATCTTACATTGAGCTGAACACTTCTTCTAACTTCTTTCTACTGTTCTGAGTCTTATCCTGTGAAGACAAGTGAAACAAAATGCAATTCCTCTTCCACGTGGACAGCTGTCACTACCCTCCCTACCCCCAAACTCAATATTATCTTCTCTTCTCTAATCATTTCTAGTTCCTTTAACCAGTTCTCATGTGAAACGGATCACCAATCTTTTCACTTTTGTGGTTGTTTTCCTCCAGACACAATTCAATTGTCAAGGTCCTTCCTTCCTAAAGCATGCCGCCCAAACTCCCTCTAAATACTCTTTGATCCAGTGATATTGGTATCCATGCTGTTCCTCACTCATTTGCAGTTATTCTAGGTTAAAGTTTGCAAGACTAATATATTAGTGGCTGAACTTTTCTTTTAAATGTTATAATTTGGATAAGTTGCTACCAGGTAAAGAACCATCCTGGGTATGTGACCTTATCTAAATTGCATGATGATTTCCAATTTATCCTGTATAATTCTTGTTTGTACAAGTTGTTTGCCTGTTGTCCCCTGCATTAGATTGTGAGTACCTTAGGATGGTTTTTTGGCCTTTCTTTGTGTACCTATTACTTAGCCTAGGGCCTGGCATTTAGAAGATGCTTAATAATGCCCCTTTATTTGGCTTGTTGACAAAACTCCAAGTGTAGTCTGACCAGGACCAAGGACCATGGGACTATCACTTCTCTTGGTTTAGACACCAGGCTTCTATGAATATAACTTTAGATTTGTCATAAGATTCTAGTACAATATCACTTCTGTGTATATATCCCTTAAAATTCAATAAAATGTCTTTTCTTCAGTTCATGAACTTTGGTACAGGAGTATATCTTCTTGATACAATGCTACTTGACTTTTGGGGATAGAATTCAGATTGCAGGAACTAAAGAGTCAATGGGGTCAAAGGAAATAGTGACAGTTAAGTAAAATCTCCTTTTTTGCATGTTACCTCTCCTTTGATCTATTTATCTTTTTTTTCTCTGAGAAGATGGAAGTGTTCTGTTTTCTAGTGAGGTACTTTTCACAAGTAGTTACATGCCTGAGAGTCACTTTAGGTGAGAAGAGGATTTTTACCACACCTATTTAATTTCTCCTCAAGCTACCAGCTCATTTGGTTGCTGGCACAGCTCCGCTCCTGACTTTCTGGGCTGTCTCTACCATGCTACCCAGCTCCATTCTCTTTTTTTCTTAGGGATGGTCAGTTACTGGATGCCAACAGCAGGCCTCTTTGCTGGGCTACCATCTTGGTCTTCCTTCAAGAACCCTCATTCAAGAACTATCAAAAGCACACTATAGCTTTCAGCATTTACCATAAAAGTTGCAGGTGGTACTTTAAGGATAGTAGGCCATGCCAAGTTTCCAGACTAGGATGCAAATGGTTATTCTTCTCACTGCTAGTCCACGCAGCATAGGCTAAAGAGAATCCAAGGTAACTGCAAGTCCCTTTACTGGACTCAGAAATGCATCCCACCCACTCAAGCCTGATTAGACGTGGAGAAAATGACCCTGGCATTTGGCATTCTATGGCTAGACTCTCATGTGGCTGGTTCTTAGACACCATCCTTGGCATAGCATCATCACCAAATTTAGCACTTCATCTAAGAAAGCATCAGTACCTGTTGATTGAAGGTCCCCAGGGTTATGTACACAGAGACAGCCTGCAGCAGCGTGGGTGGTAGAATGCTGGAGTTGGAGTCACCAAGACTTAGGTCCAAATCCCGCCTTTGATATTTGCTACCTTTATAACCCTGGGCAAGTTGCTAACCTTCTGGGCCTAGGTTTCCTCATCTCAAATGAGGAATGAGGGATAATAATAGCACAGAATTGCTCTGAGGATCTTAGGAGATAAGGAACATGAAGCATTCTGCAAGCTTGAAAGCATCACAGAAATGAGTTATTATTATTACACCCTGTCTTTTCTTTCCCACAGTCTAGAAGTGATAAACATTTCCCAGGTCTTTTGAGTGGATAACTCAAGGAGTTAGACAAGACCCATTAACTGGGCGCCCACCAAGAAAAGCAATGCACCAAGTTCTATGGAGAGATATGTGAGAAGCAGAGCTGGCTCCTTCAGAAAAAGAACTTGAAGGCCTCAGGGCTCCCTCTAGAAGTATCCTGAGGGGTGTGACAATCCTGCCTCTCATTTCTGCTGTGAATGAATTAAAAAAAAAAAAGCCACCCACACTTTTATTAAGTGCTCACTGTGTGCAAAGCAATGTGTTCAGTGCTGGGCTTACATATAGAAAAGTGGAGATAGGGGCTCATATTCTAATGGGAGAAACAACATAGGAATTTCTACCTGCAAGGTAAACAGAAAGGCCCAGTGGTCCGAAGGGTACAGTGGCAAAGCATCTTCTTTAATGCTAGTACCATGAATAAAACCATATTGGTTTTTAATGTTGAACCATTTGGCAGTACCCTAATATCACTCACTATCATGCCCTGGGAGCTTAATATTATTAATGTTAATTACAACAGCTCAGTGAGAGTGGCTAAATCTTGAAGAGGCTTAGAAGACTCCACCTATGATCACACTATTGGTGGAGATGTGGATCACAGGAGTTGAAAATGACAAGATTGAGTTGGCTATCTTCCTTGCCCATTTGAACCTATTTTGACCCTGGGCAGTTAGGTGGCACAGGGAACAGAGCACTGGGCCTACAGTCAGGAAGATTCCTCTTCCTGAGTTCAAATCCAGCCTCTGATACTAGCTGTGTGACCTGGGCAAGTCACTTAATTCTGCCGCAGTTTCTTCACCTGCAAAATGAGCTGGAGAAGGAAATGGCAAATCATTGTAATAAACAACCCCAACAAGAGTCATGAAGAGTTGGACAACTGAGAAACGACTAAACAACAATTTTGACCCTTGAAGGTTGAAAAGATAAAATTCAGCGGGGGATAAATGTAAATTCTTATTCATAGAGTCAAAAAATCAACTGTACAAGTGCAGAACTAGGGAGACATGATTAGATGGCAATTTGTTTAAAAAATATCTGAGAATGTTAATGAACTACATAAGCTCAATATGAATAGTGTGATGAAGCAATGAAAAAAAAAAAACAGATTCTGGGCTGCATTAAGAGAACCATGGCTTCTGGGAATTAGGAGGTGACAGTCGCTTTCTTTTCTGCCCTGGCCAATAAGCTGCAGAACATACAGGGGAAGGCAAAGGCCCCCATGTCATATCTGAAGGACCATCAAACAGTACAAGGATTAGATTTGTTCTTTTTGGCCCCAAAGATCAGACTCAGGAGCCATGAGTGGAAGCTACAAAGAAGCAAATTTAGACTTGATGGCAGGAAAAGCCTCCTAACAATGACAGCAACTGTCCCAAAGTAGAACAGGCTGCCTTAGGACTCAGGAGACCCTTTCTCATTGAAGGACTTCAAGCAAATGCTAAATAACCACTTGGCAGGTATGTAACAGCTAGCATTTTACAGCACCTACTATGTGCCATATAATAACACCTACGGTGCTAATAGGACATAGGCACTGGACTAAATGCTTTATAAATATTGTAGGCCACCAAGATCCATTCCAATTCTAAGATTTCATAGATCTGTGAAAACCAAGGCTTTGGGGATTTGGGTTGAGTCAAGTGGTCAAATTCTTGAATTTTAGCCTCCTGATTGAATATATAAGCTACCTCCCCAACCCTCCTAGCCATTTGTCCTTGCTCTGACAACCTAGACTTCTTTCTATCCTTTGATAGAAGGTTTTCTGACTCCCTCCATGACACTGACTGTACTAGTTGCAGTGGACCAAAAAAAAATTAGCTATTTGTCTAGAGTTTCCTTACTACAATCCATGGTGCTGAGCACAATATCCAGACCCCCTGTTAGGAGGCATAAGTGCCGAACAGAATTGTCATGACGCTCTAGATTCTAGTTTCACAGGGCTCATATGGAAGGAGGCTTCATTTCTTTAAATCAGTCAAGCAAGCAAGCAGACCTGAATCTGTAGTTAAACTGAACTTTTAAACATTTTAAAAGAAAATGTGGGGAAAAACAATGAGAGGCCTCAAAAGGGAAATAGAAATAATAATTATTTATATAATATATTTAAGGTTCCCCCCAAGGCTTTTACATATATCATCTCATGAAATCCTCACAACAACTATGTGAGATAGGTATTATCACCTGAGCCTTTTCACACGATGATAAAGAGGCTCAGGAAGGCTCAGCGACTCGCTCATGGTTGGATGGTCTATAAGTGTCAAAGGTGGCATTTTAATTCAGCTCTGCCCTCACCCCAAGCCCAGTGCTCTTTCCACTATGCTTAGCATAGTGCCTGGCACGTAGTAAGTGCTTAATAAAGGTTCATTTTACCTATCACTCTATCCCTCTAGCTCTCTATGACCTATATATCTTATCACTCATCTATCTACCTATAATTAATCTATTCATTAATCCATCTGTCTTGTATTTACCTATCTTCTATCTACAATGATCTCCCCATCCCTCTATCTTCTTTCTACTAAAATTCTATCTGCAACCATCCATCTATCTATTGATTCCTCCATCTATTTTTTTAGTATGTATGTATGTATGTATGTATCTATCCCCTTTCACCCATGTCGCATTGCTTAACCATTCATTTGGGCTATATCAAGCCAAGATATGACAGGTATATTAAAACAACTCCGTTCTTCTTCCTGAGAATATTGACTCAGCCTAGTCCAGGCTCCTGAGAAAATGGCTAGGGTGCAAGTGATAAGAAGGTGATGCATAGCTATAATCAGTCTGACCCCAAAGCCCACATGCAGGTGTGGAAGGAACATCAGCATTAGGCCGCGGAGCAATAATGCCGTATTTCTCGCCAGGCACCTTTTTCAAGCTGTACCAGTTTCCCGAGCTCCTTGCATTTGCATTTTCCCAGGCCCTCCCACTGCCTGCCTATTTTCCTGGTGAATATCCACCTACTCTATTACTCTTTAGGCAGAAAAGGTTATTCTTTTCATTAGTTGGTACTTCTTGGATTTTCTTATATTTCAAAAGAAATAAATACCCTATTCCTGTCAAACTTAACTCCTCTACCGGATTGTCTGGGCATGCCCAATTTCAGATGTTTCCACTTAAGTTTTTTGCAAAACCCATGAACCCCTCCCATCAAACCACATTCGATTCTGAATGCCATTTCACGATTCAAAATAATGTTTCTGTTGACTTAGATTGTAACAGTGAGTACTTTGAATCAAACCAACCTCTTTGAAGAAAGTAAAGAAAGCTGCAGAGCTTTTCCCCTAAGGATATACAAATAAAACTCACCTTTAGAGAGGATTCCCGCTTAGATTTCCAGAGGTTTTTTTTTTCCCTTTTCTTTTCAGCCTGATTGTCAGATAGTCTTAGTACCAGGAACATCACCCTCACTTTCAAGATAAATGACAACCTTCCCAAGAGCCACCACACCAAAGTAATCTACTGCGTAATAAGCAATTCCTAAGAGCCCAGCCCATGGGTGCAAGCAAAGAGAAAGCGGCTTCTTCTAAGTCACAGGGTTACTCAGAAAGCATACGGGGTGCAGTGGCCTTATTGAATACCCAGTTTATCCATAGCAAGATTAAAGTGGTATATTTTGGGGCAGCTAGGTGGCGCTGTGGATAAAGCTCCAGCCTTGGAGTCAGGAGGACCTGGGTTCAAATGTGATCTCAGACACTTGACATTTACTAGCTGTGTGACCCTGGGAAAGTCACTTAACCCCAATTGCCTCACCAAAAAAAAAAAAAAAAAAGAAAGTGGTATATTTTCTGGAAGTGAGAAAGGATTTGATTTTATCAATTAAAAAAAGTATAAAGTATATAAATTAGAAATGATAAAAATGACTTCTCTGGTTTCAAGTCATCAAGTCTTTTTTCAGTCCATCTGATTCTTCTCATTTCTGCTTTGCTAATCAGCACCATGTTGTCCTGTTATACCAAGAGTTATGTATCGAGTGTGGTAGAAACAACACTGGCCTGGCAGCTGGGAGCCCTGGGTGATTGTCCCAGCTTGGACACTTCCCAGCTGTGTGACTTTGGGAAAATCTTTTCCCCTTCCAGGCAAAGGAAATGCAGCCCAAGTCAAGATCTGAGAGAGTAAGCAAATTCTTTGCTGGGTAAAGCTAGTCATAGAAGGGAGAATGAGAATGGACCTTAGAGGCCAATTAGTCAAACCAATATCTGAACAAGAATTCATTTTACAACAACAGAATAATAATCATAATAATAATAACTAACATTTACATAGTGCCTACTATGTATCAGACTAAATACTTCATAATTATCATCTCATTCAATCCTTACAACCACCCTGGGAGAGATGTGTGCTATTATTATACTCATTTTACAGATGAGAAAATTGAGGCAAACAGAAGTTAAGTGACTTATCCAGGGGTCACACAGCTAGAAGCATCTGAAGTTAGATTTGAACCCTGATCTTCCTGACTCCAGGATCAGCACTCTCTCCACACCTGTACCCACAACACACACGTCTCATGGTCATCCTGCCTTCTGAAGACCTTTAGGGAGGAGCAACTCACCACATCCAGAAGCGGCCTACTCCACTCTTCGACAGTTGTGTCAAGGAGTTCTTAATTTTCATTAAGTGGGCCCAAGATTTGTCTCTCTGCAACTTCCGCCCACTGTTCCTAATTCTACCTTCTGGGGACAAGAAAAATGCATTCGATCCCTCTTCCACATTACAGTCCTTCGAATTCTTGAGGACAGCGTGAATCAAGTCTTCTGTCTCCCAATCTAGGGCTCTTTCCACCATATCATGGTTCAGAGGAAAAGCCAGGTCCGAGGAGGAAGAGGAGTTCATGGGGGCCATTTTCATAGCTAAGAAGTCAGCATGGATTAATCTGGTTGAACACACTACGGAAGGGAGGTGTAGACAACAAGGGGATGACTGTGTCTCTCTGTGGCTTGAAGAAATGGTTCTGATAGGTCCGGGGCATGAAAATCGCCTTCATATTCCAATGTTCTCTTCTCTCTCCTTTAACCCTGTCAGGGTACTGGGTACCAGAAGAAAGCTTGTTACTTTCATATCCATTACTTCCCGAACTATGCATTTCTTTTACTCAACATCCATGATCGGTACACTGGGTAAGGATTCAGTTCCTCTATCTGGTATGTGGGTAGGCCTGTCACAACAAGAGCCGGGGTACCACTAGGTAGATAGATGTAGACCTTGTCCATTGCATGGCAGTCGGTCTCCCATATGTATGTAGCGCTGGTGTCCGACAGTGTGGCAAATTGGCCTAGGTAGCCTATAACTTTTCTAGGCCCATAACTTTTTAACCAGTTATGAGTGCTCATTATTATATAGCATGAGTACAATAAAAAACTAGGGTTGGAAACTGAAGCAGATTTAGTAGACTTGGTTTATATACAAGGGCATTTGGGGCTAGAGAAGTGAATTACACTATTGCAATTAATTTCATTTTGGGTAATGTGGCAACCTAACCATTTTGGTGGTAGATGTAGCAACAAAGTTTGTGTGCTTTGTCAGTTCATTGGTGATGCACCATGGAAAGGTGAATCTTTACCTAGAGTGCTATGAATAATGCAGCCCAGAAACGAAAAACGAAATTTTCTCACATGGAGAAGTGGGAAAAACTTATTATAGTAGAAGGAAAAAAAGGAGAGGGTTGAACATTGTTTGAACCTTACTCTCATTGGATTTAGCTCAAAAAGGGAGTAACATACATATGCAATTGGGTACCGAAATCTATTTTACCCTATAGGGAAGTAGGAGGTGGGGAGGGACAAGGAACTGGGACAGAGGGTGATAGAAGGGAGGGCAGATTGAGGGAGGTGGTCATCAGAAGCAAAAATGAAATAGGAACTGGAGTCCCCTGCCAGAGGTGATATGAAAGGGAAACTGGAGCTGAAAGACTTACTTCAGAACAGGGAAGTGGCACCTACCTGTGATGGCACCAGGGAGGAAGTAAGTCATCCTAGTCAGGATGGGGCGGGGGGAGTATGTCAACAAAGTCTAGCCTTATCACTTCCCAAGGTTGAAGGAGAATCTATAGGGGTTTAAAAAGCCTGTCAACTTCCCCCCATTGTCTTTGGCTTGGGAAGATTCCTCATAGGTATAGACATGCCTGTAGATATAGTGGCCCATCTATGGTTGTCAAAGATCCTGGGAGATCATCCGCCACATTTTGAATGGATTCATGCTGTCGGCTACCAGGTTGTTGGGGCAAAGGCAGAACATGACCCGCTGGGCCTCACTGAGGCGAGAAAGGCAGTGAAGACATGAGTAGGGGTGCCAAAGCCTATTGGGGATGGACCTTCATTCAGATGTCAGAGGTGGGCCTAGGATGCTGGAGGATCATATTTAGTCAATCCAATCCGGGTTAAATGGCTGTGAAACTTACAGTCTCATATTTGTACCCACAGAGGGCAAATCTGATGCCTCTCCATCATCTTTCGGTTGATCCAGCACATTGAGAAGTAATGGTGAGGAGTTCTTCACGACATGGTGACGGCATTCAGGGCTCTCTAGTGGTGAAGCCTTAATTCCCCACTATGGGGGAATGGGAAAAGCAGTCTCCTTGTTACTGGGACATTGCATTTCCCACTGCCATGACTGCTGTGTGCTCCCTCGTCACCTCCAGCACTCTTAAAAACACCACCTACTAATCAAAGCTTTTCCCAGTTCCCCCAGTTGTCAGTATTCTCCCTCCTATCAAATTGTTGTTCTTGTTGTTATTAATGACTGGACCAAAGATTTCATCCTTTTTTCCTTTGCTTCTTTGCTTTTTTTTTTGGCGAGGCAATCAGGGTTAAGTGACTTGCCCAGGGTCACACAGCTAGTTCAGTGTTAAGTGTCTGAGGCTGGATTTGAACTCAGGTCCTCCTGACTCCAAGGCCAGAGCTCTGTTCACTGCACCACCTAGCTGCCCCCTGATTTCATCCTTATAGGGTGAGGAACTCCCTCTACCAAAGCAGACCAGCACCTGTTCTACAACTTACAGTCTTGGAGAGTTGCTAGGGCCCTAAGAGGTTTAAATGACTTGGCCAGGGTCACTTGGCCAGTAGATGTTATGTGGACGAGGCTTGAACCCAGGTCTTCCTGAGCCCAAGACCATCTCTCTGTCCACTAAGCCAGTATAAGACCTTTCCTTATTCCCCAAGATGTTCATGTTCTCTCCTCCACCAAATTACTTTATATTTATTTTCTATGTATCTTGTACTTAGGAATCTTGGTACGTATAATTCCCAGTAGAATGTAAGCTCTTTGAGAGCAGACACTGTTACTGTTTCATTTTTGTCTTTGTCCCCAGAGCCTCAAAAAATGCCAAGTACACAGTAGAGACTTATGAACTGCTGGTTGACTGGCAGATCCCTAATGACCTGGTTTGGCTTTCAGAATCCTTCCTGTATGGTACTGCTCCTTGTCTTCATTCTTGGCTACACGGAACAGATTGACACCTCCCTGCCTGGGGCCCTGGCAACTTCCCTCTCTACTCAATGTCCCAAATTCAATGCATGTTAACGAACAATTACAATATGCAAATGGTGCCAAGCACTGGGGCTCTTCTGGCTTAGAATGCCATTTCCCCAGCTCTGTAAACATCCAGTTCTGGCCCAGGCCCTGGATGGACAGCTGTTTTAACAAGATGATATGCTGGCAAATGTTTTGAGAAGAAATCCGAATATTCTTGCTGTCTACCTCTACACGTAACCCTAGACCCATCTCTCTCTGACCCCCAAACAATGTCAAATAAACCACTCAGTCCTGAAAACAACCAACAATATAGGTCATTAGGTAATCCTGGCATCTCCTTATTTTACCACTGGAAGCCCACAAATTTCCTGACATGCTACAGTCTCTGACTATCAGGACTCTTCCTTCAATGTGTCTCCAAGAGTACCAGGATCTCCAGGAGGAACAAAGGAGTTCTAATTCAATTCAACAAACCTGTCTTAAATGCCTATTATGTGTCAAGCACTACGCCAGGTCCTGGGAACACACATGAAAAAACAGACTCAATACCTGTCCTCAGGGAGCTTACAGTCTACCATGATAGATGGGGTATAAAACTATACATATGCATAATCCAAGTGACAGTATATGGTGCCATGGGAAGTTAGGAGTCAGAAGACCTGTGTTCAAATTCTGACTATACTATTTACTACTTGGGTGATTTAATCTCCCTGGGCCTCAGTTTCTTCAACTATAAAATGAGAATGATAGACTAGATAAGATGGCCTTTGAAGTCCCTTCCAGCTCTCTATTTTCCTAAGGGAAGACTGTAATAAAGCTAAAGTAAAGATGCATACTAGGAAACTGAGAGAGACAGAGAGAGAACAAATTTTCAGGTGAGATTGGTTTTTGCCTTTCTTTGTATCGCCAGTACTTAGCATAGTGCCAGGTATGTAGTAGGTGCTTAATAGTTGAATGACTCACTGAGAGACATCAGGGAAGACTCCACTGAGGAGGTGGCACCTGAACTGAGCCTTGAGGGAAGAAAAAGATTTGAACCGGTCACAATGAAGAGAATGCATTTCAGGTATCAGGGAGAAATGTGCAAGGTTGATCAAATGCACAAAGACAGTAGGAGGCAGGCTGGGATTGAGGAAGAGTGAATAGTCTAGTTTAAATGTAACATAAAGTACGTGAAAAGGAAAAGGAAGATTTAAGGTTGGACAGTAGGCGAGAAGACCCCAGATGAGGCCACAAAGAGTTGGACATGACTGAAAATGACTCAATGGCAACCTTTTATTTGTTGATAACAAATGATGTAAATAATAATCACTTTTTTTTTTTTGGTGAGGCAATTGGGGTTGACACAGCTAGTAAGCATTAAGTGTCTGAGGCTGGATTTGAACTCAGGTCCTCCTGACTCCAGGTCCGCTTCTCTATCCACTGTGCCACCCAGCTGCCCCAATAATCAATTTTTAAAAGGGTAAAAAGAAAATAGGATCAATAACAGCACTTTGCATCTGACTGGATGGTAGAAAGGGATGAGAGAGAGGGATGAAGCAAAGATGACAAGTTTTGTGGATGGACTGGGAGAACTTAGATACTATAATATAAGTACAGATACTTCCATAGCAGTTTAAAATTATTCCCTTTATCTCACAACTGTCCCGGGAGGCAGGTATTTTAATGATCATCCTCATTTTACAGATGAAGAAATTGAGACAGAGTGGTTAAGTGATTAGTTAAGTGACCTGATTATGAGTGCAAAGCTAGTTAAGTTTTAGAGACTCTCTTCTGGATAGTTCATTTGAAACTAGATCTGCCAAGCCCTTCATAAATCAGCTCATTCACTGGCGATCTAGGGTCAGAGTATGAAAGGTTCTGATTTACTGAACCACAGAGCCAGCCTTTTCTTGTCACTGATTGATCTTAAGGTGGTAGATTCTTTACCCAGTGAGTCATTCAAAACATCCCACAGTTCTAGGAAGAGCACCTCAAACTCAATTAGTACCAGTCACCTAATGGGTAAGGCGTTGCCACATGAAACATGAAACAAGGGAGCCTGTTTGTGTATAGTCAAATTGTGCCTCCTGGGGGCAGGAGAGTGGAAGCAACTTCAGCTGGGCCACTCATCCAGACACAACAGCTGATTAGATGGAATATTTCTAGCAGGTACTTAGGTGGCTGCTAGATGGGGGCTGTCAGCCAGGCGTTCTCCTCTATAAGGGAGGTCCTGAAGACCCAGTACAGCTGAACTGCGGTGTCTGGACAGCTGCCCCTGGAGGGCACCCAC